GCAAACTAAAAAGAATGAAGAAATATCAACATACAAAAAGTTATTCTTTTTTAGATATTATCTCCATTGTCTTCTACTCAGAACCTTCTAATTGATTTACATAGGGTACACTTTGAATAACCGTGAGCTTAAGAATTTTTTATTTAGAACATACCTGAAACATGAACAGATGAAAACTCCATATTTAAGCAATTACATGCAAGTCAGAAATGCCAATTTCCATCACAGTTAGCCTAAGTTATGCAACATATTTTTGTTCCTTTTTAGTATATAGCTGATGTATGTTTTTATAATTTGCTTAACTGCCTATCATGAAATTCTGAAATCACATAGGCCACATGAAACCATAAAAGGGTACCTTTTTATTTTTCCCAATGTACCATGTTTCTACATTGCTTACAGAGCTCGTACAAGAAACACTGTTAGTTTCTATATAAAGATTTCCATAAAATCTTTATAGTTTCTATAAATGCATAAAGATTGCTGGTTTCATTATAACCTCTGTTTCAGTGCCAGTGGAAAGAAAAATTACCTGCAACCCTAAACAGCAATATGCATATACAGAGGCAAAAAGTGCGCTCAGGCCTCCCTTCAAAGCAGTCTTGGACACTCACTGCCTTCCATCAAAACATAGACAGTCACACTGCAGAAGCAACTTCTAGAGCACTCAGCTCTAATCACCTCTCTCAGAACAAACAGGCCATAAAACAGACAGTTGTGAGAACAAATGATTAATTCTACATACTTTACCCTAAGAAATAATCACATAACCAATGCTATAAAATACTATGAGTAATACCTATTTTATTCGACATATTAAAGGCTATTTATAGAAACCTCCTCTCTGATAGGTTATATCTTCATTCCAAACTACACCATATAAAATAAATGCTCATATTTTTTAATCTGAATATCATCTTTTGAAACTGCAGATGGAATTTTCATGAGTGGTGACTATAATTTATCATGTTCATTTAATTTTCCTTTTATTCCTAATTCAATTATTATTTATTAAAAACAGACTAATCACAATAAGTAAAGTTTTATCAATTATTTCCATAATTACAAATGAACACAGTAAACACAATGGGATTATAAATCCACTTAATTAACTACTAGGCTATTTTCAGCAGGAAAAGGTATTTTTTTTCTTGTTTTTAAGCATCTGATTGACAAGTTGGTATCTTGAGAAACAATTTCTGCAAATGAAAGAAATACACTATCTTGCTTTTTGTCAATCTTTAACAAAATTTTCTAATTGGACAGGGTTTATTAAGACATACATTCCCTAAAGTTATAATAATAGAGTGAAAATGAAACCAAAAATGAGTCAAAAGTCATATCTGAACTCATTAACCATAAAAACAGTTTTAGACTCATTCACATTACATTTATGTGAGATTCAATTTAAGAAAAATGTTATGTGAGCTGTTGGAAGATTTTTCAAAAACCATGGGATTCTTTTCAAATGAACAACCTACCACTGTTGATATTTTAATATTTAAACTAGCCAAGCAGTAAACAAAAGCAGAATAAATAACATGAACTTTGAAAAGGACCTGCTTTCATATTTTTGTTGTTGTTGTTGTTGTTGTTTGTTTTTCTCTTTTAAAAAAATACAGGCACTGCAGGTCTTTTCAGGAATTAACAAAGCCTGTCTTTTTAGATTTAAAGATAGCAGGCTCACCCGGCTTTAAATGAAATATTGAGTGCTACAGGGACTTAATGGTTAAAAGCCAAAGATGTCATCGTGGTCTGGGGGTGTCACAACCTCAGGTGGGGGATGCGGAGGATGGGGTGCAGAGAAACCACTTTGTCAGTGACTGCAATCCAGGGTCCTAGACCGTGGCTCATTACTTCCTCCTTCTGTATCAAGACCCTTATTTACATTCCAGATTACATTTTTTATGAAACAGTAAGATCTATCAGAGCTGAGAGGACTGAAATAATGAGGGGAAAACATTTTAATAGAACGCGTTGGGTCTGCATGACTTCCGTGGCAGAAAGAAAAGGCTTCTTCTGTGGGGATGGATCATTTATTCTGCTTCTAAACGAGAAGCAAAAAGATGAAACTGATGAACTTTTACTGCCCATTTGTCTTTAGCAGACAATTAAGACAGAGAAGATCAAAATGGATTATCATACCACGCAGACAACTGGCCCAACAGTAATACATCTCCAGGACCACAGATTTGTAACTCTCTTTTATCCCTCCCCTTTCTTCTTACTTCTTTTTCCACTCTAAAGGCAGTGCTAGCTTTGTGGCTCAAGGAGAGCCAAAAGGCTGGTCATCATTATTCAGCCACAGATGTCAATCTAACCTCCCTTTTTTCTCGGTTTCTAAAGCAGTGAGCCACAATAATTTGTGACAGATTCTTTTACTGTAAGGTACAAAGAACACACAGAATAAAACATCTAGCAGCAGCAAGCGTCTCTGATCAAGTGTGCTGGTACATGGGAAACACACTATATGTAAAAACAAGCACTGATAGTTTAGGAGAATAAGGAGAAAAACCAGGGAGGGGGCACTGAGGGAGGGAGGGAGGGAGGGAATGTGTATTTATGTGTTGTATTAAGTGCTATACTTTATGGTGATTTATCTCAAATATCCCTTATGGATTATACCATAAACGTTTTAATACTAGAGATGATAGCTGGATCAAGTGCATATTCAGCATTTGACATTCAAATGTAATGGAAAATGTTTTTCAGGGTTCCTTTAGAAATAGAACACCATAGGGGATGGTAATTTGCTTTAATCAAACAAATGGTAAGAAAAAAATATATATATAAGACAACCAAGGTAAATAAGAAATGACAGAATAACACAGTTCTCATTTCTTTTTACCACTAGATATAACTCTCAGATTTCTGAGAATTTGAAGGTAGCAGCTCATAAAAACAAAGTTCATCCGTTATTTATTCTTTGAGTTAGCTAGGGTGCAGGAGAAAAATCATGTGTCCCAAGGTGGGGGAGATGCCAAGTGAGGCAGTGATGTGGACCCTCTACCAGGCCTACCCACGCAGCCTGTGAGTGCTGCCGGCCTGCAAAGTCTGCCAACCTACGAGCACCTTTCAGATAACTAAAGCTATCATCATTCTGTAGAACCCAATTGTAATTTTAATGGTTCCAACCTCAGTATATGAAATACTGGTAGGACCACCCATTAATCAAAGGAGAGGGGACTAAGTTCGTAACACTAAAATATCAAATCAGTAAACAGGACTCCATAATGCAGTGACAGAATTGACAATAGTCCATATTTCTGTGTACACTTGTATAGTACATGCATATATACAAACACCCACATATTGTCCTCAAACACTCACGTTTATACACTCAGATGAGAAAAAAAAAAAAACATAGAGAAGCATCAAATTGTTGCCATGATCATCTAGGAAATGTAAAACAACAGATTTGTATACTTTTCTTTAAAATTTTGTTTTGTCTATTTTTTCTACAGGTGTGACATAAATGTGTTACTTCTGCAATTTTTAAAAATTATACCAAAAAAAGTCACACTGCTCAAAAAGGTTTTAGACATAGCAAGAAACTACGTTTGAAGGGATATACCCAGGTGGTAACTATGTTATTTTAAGTTTTCTGCTAAGAAATTGTCTCTAACTGGGTAATTCAGATGATGGGACCACAGAGATTATTACCTAGTTGCAACATTTTAGACAATAATTTTCTTAAGTGCTGTGACCTCAAGTATATAATAGCTTTCTAAAGATTTTATGTCCTTTGGACATTGTCTGAAGAACAATATTAATATTATCCTACAACCTTCAGATGAGTAGTTTAAAATCAGAGAGCTTAATCTCAGCAATTTGAGGCAAGATAAAAATGTACCTCTCCTAGTGGAAGGGCCAGAGTGCTTGACTCCAATATGTTTTAAAATCTTGTTCAAAAGTCTTGAGATCAGTCACAAAAACAAATCCTATCTGTTCTCTTGGGTTTTTGTGCTACTAAAAATCTCATTACAAAGCAGCTCATTGTACTGATTACCCAGTTTTAGTTCTAGTCATATTGTGTCTCCCACATTCCTTAAAGACATATCAGATACCATGCACTCTACCCATCAGGCAACACTGCCCAACTGTTACTACTGTTGCCCTGGCTATCTCCACTCTGTTGTATTTACAACATTAAATGGATATACTGCAGAAATAAGCTTTTACTGTGTATAATATTCCACACATGAAAAATTTTAAAAACTGCTTTATTCTGGATAATCAGGGATGCTCCTATTTCAAAACTGATTTTAAAATGTATACCAGGTTGCATATTTGAACTAAAAATGTAAGTTCCCAGAAAAAGAGTACAACACATCGCCAATATTTCTCGAGGTATAACCTAGAATTCTGAATATATCCCCTAACGCTAACGCTAAGTCATGCGCAACATCAGGACTTCAGCACTAGTTTATGGGTAAAATGGTTTCTTCTACTCCATTCTATGCCTGCAGAACACTGGAAATTCCAGATGGCGGAACCAACCAGCTGCCCTTAACTTTCACGACGATCATCTGAACTGCTCTCGCCTCCAAGACCAACCCTACATACGCACCTTCTCCCAGTACTACAATAACACATAGCGTCACACTCTATTTCAAATCCCAGGAAATGGTATAAAGTTTTCTCCTCCTCATTTTTGTTACACTGCTTCTCAACTGCATAAATAGCACTGAAATTTAAAAGTTCACAAGCAACCCAAAAGGATTTCCTAATGAACATACCTCAAAGTAAAAAAGTAAAATCTACGATAAATTTCCTTCCTTAGCTTCTGTGCATTTCCCTGAGGATAACACCCCAAATCTAGCACTGATACTTTCAATACAACCTCACTATGTTTTACTTTTTGTATTTGGTTCCTAATTACTGCCTCTCTTCCCTCCTAAAAATTCATTTATCTCTTTCAGTAAAAAGAACAGTAATAATATGTTGAACAACTCTGAAATAAATTTTGTCATGTAAAAAATTAATTACGCATTCCGAACCTGGTCACTGTAGTCCTCCGGGAATTGCCTCTGCACCTCAGGATCTGTAAATAATTGACAGATAATATTAATTGGCTTTGGATTAGTGAGCAAGCAGAGGATCACGCATTAATATTTGATCAGAAGATGATAGCAGCCCTGGCAGGGGGTCCAAGGGGGGCAGCTGAGGCTGCGACGTTGATGAGCACAAGGGAGGGCTCGGCAAGGCACTCCCCTTCCCCTCCTCCAGAAATTTTATAAAAAAGAAAAAATTGTAAAGACCTGATACTTCGCTTCACTTTAGACTATTACCTAATGCGAAAATGTTGCCAGCTGTAAATTGCCTTCAATGTATTTTTCCAGAGAAAATGAGTCTTAAACCTGCTCGATTTCTCTAAACAGAAGTCCCCTTTTCATACCTAACAGATGTGAGCCTGATAAGCCACCTTCTGCACCAGTTTCAGACATGGGAGGAAGGGGGAAATGTCAAACTCGCTGCGTGTGAAAAGAAGATATATCCTTCCCGAGACGCTCATCAGCCCTTAGGAAAATACAGATAAAACGAGATAAAGCTTTCTTCAATACAGAACCAGGACTTTTGGCTTTGTCAGTGTAAACAAAATATCGCGATGTAAGAAACTGTATTCTGAAGATAGGATCAGACTTGTGCACAACTGTAATAAATACACAAGTGAAGAAATCTCTTATGACCATTTGATTCTTAAAACATAATTGCAAGGTAATCCAATGCCATCTCCTGTTAGTCAATACAGAAGTGTACTAATTAAAAGCTATTAGCACTCCATTTACTATTGATTGGGACAACATTCAATCTTTTCTAATAAGAGAAAGAGTTGGCTCTTCAGAGACATTAAAGAGTGTGATCAGAAAAATACCTATTTGAAAAATCATATATCAACACAAAAGGCTCAGGGGGTAAGAAGCACGTTTGATGTTCTCCCAAAGATCATAACAGCCACTGCTCATGTTTCCTATCTATCTTTAAAAATCACGATTTATTTCTCTGTGAAAGTGAATCCATGTAAAGTTAAAATCCTCTAAATCACAATGTACAAATGTGGTTAACTGGTGTTCAATGAAGAATCAGAAGGAAAAAAGCTAAGGATCTATTTACACAGAACACTTAATTCCTTGAAATACTAGTTCACCCGTCCTGAAGCCCAGTGGTTTTTTTGTTTTGTTTTGTTTTGTTTTCCTTTTAATCCAAGACTAACGACATAAGCCGGAATATTCAGCTGGTCACACCAAAAGAGGAGTTCTCCACATGGGCTGACGCATACAAGTTGAAACTATCTGCAGAACGTTTCAGCACTTCAAGTGTAGAACCTGGAGGGGAGGATCTTATCCCTAGCCTCATCTCCACCTGCCAGAAGGGGCCCAAGGACCCGTCTGGAGGTGACTAGCACCATTCTGGCGTTACCGCCCCCTGCAGTACCACTCAGGGCTGCTCTACTGAGGAGTCGGGTTCAGAAGCTAGAGCCAGTCTTTGGGTTAAAATCACCCAAGGACTAAGATCTGTAAGACAGGAAGCCAGAGGGCGCTCACAGTGTGGCAGGAAAACTACTGGGTCGACAAAGAATTAACCAGCAGGACACCAAGTGGCAGGCTGTTGCCCAACAAATCTCTCCAAGTGTGCAACCACGGAGGGAGGGGAAGGGAAAGGAGTGACTGGGAAAAGAGGACAGTGGCTGTAATTCCCAGAACATACATGAGAAATTTAAGATTTGGCCACAGTCTCCAAGCTACCCAGGGATGTCATAAACCAGAGGCTGGGAAAGCCGCAAAGTCATCTAAGGCTTATATTTTCTCTTCCAGTTGTCATATGGTTAACACTTACTTTTCAACTGGAAAAATTCATACAGAAATGACCTCCATATAAATCTTTAATATCATGTCCTCTTTCTAGCAGGAGTTTGTGCTTTGAGGAAATCACAATATGCCAACGGAAAGAAAACCAAAGATTTCATTTTTCTGTCAACATTTTGTGAGGGAATAAACATCAGACACCAAAATTTGTATTGTTTCAGGGAAAGAGAGAAGTTTCCGGTTTACAGGTGGAAGAAAGTTCTTAAATTTCTCTTAATTATATTCATAATTAAAAACTCATGATTATCAAAAATCATATTAAGACTCATAATTTCTAAAATGTATTCATATATACAACCTAAAATTGAAAAAAAAGAAAATGGAAGTGAAGAAAAATCAACCTATTTTAATTCTCTGCAGATAAAAGATGACCAGAGAACACAGAATACCAACATGGAAGCCATACAAACCACATCGCCTAAGCCAGTCTCAGTGGCAGGCAACATAAAGTCCATTCCTGAATGCCTTCAGCTGTCTTAGGACAACCCCAGAATGAGATGCCCGATTTTAACAGGGTCAGGTTCCAAATCATTACAAGTATTACCATCTAGTATAATTCAAGCTTAAAACTCTGATTTTCTTTTAAAAGTCCCCTGAGGTTTACAGAAAGCAAACTTTATTGAGTCCTTAACATTCTCTGAAGCAATACTTGCTGGGGAGAAGAACAAAGTAACAAACAAAACCGTAAAGCTTTTCAAAACAAAACCCAATCTAAAAATCTCTATTCAATTAACTCAAAGATTCAGTGTGATAGTGAATAAAACTATGAAAGCCATTTTGCAAACATTCAACAAAAACTGCAAATAATGCTAAACTTTTTCTTAACACGGGAGGCTGAATTTCATTTTTTTTTTTACTTCTAGTTGATCATAATGCCACAATGTCACCAAAATATCGACATTAGAAACATCTGAGTTTAAAAGGTCCAAATACAATCTGCTTTTCTCAAGCAACACAACACCGCCTCACTAACAGCTTCAGCATGGCACACATACAAAACTTAGCACCCTGCAGTTAAGCAAACCGCCTTTAAATTTTCTGTCTGGCAGCAATCCACTTGCGTGTCTGTATGTTTTTTACAAGTACTCTATGTATTTCATTGCGTCAGCTGCATTTTCTTTGAGTTTTAAATGGTCTGGGAACATTTTATGAAATGTTCTATATCTTTATATGGAAAATAACATACACTGGAAAACTGCATCGGTCTAATATTTATATATCTATGTCTTTATCCACCATCCAATGCTGTGATTGCTAATGTTCCAAACACCTTCTCACATTCATACGCTCACCGCCAAATGCAGTGTCACCAAACAGCTAGCTCTCAACACACAAATCTGCAGATGAGAACACTACCATGGAACAAAGTAACACAGCAATTTGCTTAGGCAATTGGCAGTAAGAGGAGTTATCGGCATATGTTAAGCTTTTTCCCCTTAGTTGTACCTCTTGCAAAAGACGAAGAACATAATATAGTAGTACCTCGTACCTCCCCTCTCAGTAAATCTGTCCTAAATGGAGTCTTACAAATTTGATCATCTACCCGACAAATACTTCTCAACAAAACAAATTCTACTGCAAACATTTTGCCAACCATATGTCCAGTCTGATAGAGTCCACACACCACTTAGTCAACAAGGCCCTGAACAGGCAGCTGACTCCAATCAACATGATGGGCTCCTACCTGCTCGCAGGCCTGTGGCCACTGAAGGCCACAAGAAGCAGTGCCATGTTTAAAAGACATCTCACTGCATGGAGGCTCAACACCACAGTCCCACTCAGGCACAGAACTGAATCATACTTTACCAGCTGTCTTCACATCACCAAACAACTGACCTCCAGACAAACATCCCCAAAAGGAAGGCTAATTTTCTACTATCTCAATAATCTATGTTTTCTAGTCTTCTACCCCACATGCTTTTACATCTCTCTAAGACATACCAGATTGTCACAGGATGTTTAATTAATAGAATAAGTTTGGGCAAGACTTACTGGAAAGGTGCTATAAATTATTTTACACAGGCTCCAAAAACCTTGAGTTCTGCCTTAGGCTTAAAGTTCCTAGAAAACGTGGTAGACAGCTCTTTTATAACAAGAAATGCAAAATAATTCATAAAAGTTCTGTGGTTCTACGTGGTTAGGAGGGCTCATTTGCACATTGGTAACTAGCATGTTTATACACATACTGCCTTGTGCACACACAACATCCCTTACAAAACTATTTTTGTGTCACATCAATGACATCATTTGAAAAGTTATTGCTTCAAAAAGAAAGGATTATTGAAAAACAGGTTGACTTCATTTTGCATGAAATGTGTGCAACAATTGTATACAAACTAAATGTCATTATCTTCTATAACTGGCCTTCTTTCAGGAACTTTAAGAGAAGCTGCACATGTAGCAGCTAACACAGCTAACTGCTTTCACTTTCACCGTACTAGGTATCAAGGCAGAAAACATTATATTTAATGCCTACTGAAGCCATACTATCATTCCCTCTAGGACATTTCCAGTCAATAAGAATTAAAAAAAAAATACTGAATACATTTAAAGCTTACAATTACCAAATTCTGTCCTTTAAAAAGCAGGACTTTAACATAAGCTATAAATGATATAATCTCATTGTTCAATTTCATGGAGTTTGAGATACCATCTTCCCTTCCCCAGAACCGTAAATGTTAATCCAAGCTATAATCAGATTTAATTTTCCAGATGAGAAGATGGGAATATGTTGCAAACGGGATAAAAGTCCGTTCCACTGCCCCTTCATCAGTGAGGTCTTCCAGTTTTATCCCTTGAAAACGCAGAGTCTCAGAAAACCTAAGAAGTGATATCTTTTGAGTGGTCTCTTTTAAGCTTAACCTTTCCCAAAACATACTCAGAAATACATTTTCTAGAAGAGAAAGTCACTGGCTTTTGGTATAATACAAAATTTCTCAATAGCAAGAGTGTGGACTAAACTGTGGTAAATAGTTTCAGTGACACTCCTATCAAACCCACTTAACACAGCAAAAATTCAACCTCATTTCTCCTATCTCAATCATTAACACATTAACTAAATGAAATTATCTTAGTGAATTATTCTACGTATGATAGCTAAAACTTTCTTATTAAAAGTAAATTATTTTTAAAGGTTGGATTTCAAGTGTCTTGCATGATTAAAAAAATTACTAGCATT